CAGCACGGCATTGTGCACGGCACTGATGTCGATGCCCAGTGCGTTGCGCTCCCCATTGCAGCTGCTGCCCGGACGAATGGAGGCCAATCCACTTGAGGAATCGGCCACGGACACCCCACCCAGATTTGAGGAGGCAGAGGTTCTGGCCCCACAGCAGGGCAGACTCGAGTAGTTGGAGTTTGTGGCCGGCGTCGAATTTGCACTGCGTGCCTTGGGCTGGGGGGTTCAGAGATAGAAGAGCAAGGATGGATGGATGGATGGATGGATGGATGTGTGCGGTGAATTAATTGGTTTCCCATTAGCCAGAATCGTAGATAGATGGGATGCCGGTGCATCCTCTTCTACTCACCAACGTTGTCTGTATGAGTGGCGTTTGCGTTTCCTGGCCATGCTCTGCCTCAGATAATTTGGTTAGATTCTCAGCTGTGCCATCGACTTCATTGAAACTGCCCTCGGGCACTGTGTCTGTGCTGGGTGTCTGTGGCACATCTTCAGAGTCCTTTTTGGACATGCTGTTAAAGTGAAAATTGATTATCTGTATTATCATGTTGTAACGTCTCTCTGAGATCTTCTGCATAAGGAGTGTGTGTGTGGGTAACGTCCTAATTAGATGTCTGGCGATTGGTTTGTTCAATTTTGAGAAAAGCTTCTTCGCTTCAATAAATTTTCTGACAGATTACAATTTTGATTTTTTGCCAAGCATGTACACAGAATTTTAAAAATACATGCTCACGAATAAATCTGCATATGCCTACCTTTCTTGAAGTTTTATAGAAACTAATTCAATAAATGGAAAGTCTTTAAAACAGCTCCGAAAGCTACTACGAAATTCTAATTGAAAACTACCAATGTTCTTTTTCAGAAAAAATGGAAATTCTCTTTATCCAGTCTTGGTGCCTTGCTTCACTTGTACTTGCGTTGTATTAATTCCATTAACCCAAATTGTACTTACTTTTTGCGACTCAGACTCATGTAGCCATCATCCTCGGATTGATTCTCCCCGCTGTTGCAGTGCAAGGCCACCGGTTTCGTTGCTGCTTCCTCGAACTCCGATATGATTTCGTCGAGGACTTTGATGGGCTCAGGTATGTCATCCAGTGAGATGGGCTCCAGGGATTGCAACTGCAGTTGATCGCTGCAAAAAACCAAATGAAAATGTAATTCACTGTGCGCTCTGCGCTCTTGCTCTCCTCATCCAACATTTCCCAATGCCCTGCCCCACACCTCTGCATTTCTGTTGTCAGCAGCAGCAGAAGGGAAGGTTGGGGTTCAACAATTTGATTTCAATTCAGTTAAAAATTGCGACATACTTTTGCTTTTGTTGGTCGCTGCTGGCCATAGCTGCTGCTTCTGCTTGCTCCAATGCGGGTTCCGAGTCTGCTGGACCATCAGCGACATTGGCAGCGGCAACAGCATCCGCCCGGGCATTACCAGCCTCTGTTTCTGTCGCTGCCTCTGTCTCTGCCTCTGCCTCCGCCTCCACCTCCACCTCCAGTTGCAACGCCTCCTCGGATTCAGTTTCAGCCTCAGTTTCGTTTGAATCGCGTGCTCCACACGATTCAGGTGCTGCTGCCATTATGCGATTTTCATTGGGGACCTCCACTTCACTCTCCTGCTCTTTCTCTTTCTGTAGTTGTTGCTTCTTCTTTTTCCGTTTCTGTGCGCCTCCTCCTCAGCTACGTTGATTATGAAAATGTAATCAATGCGCGCCCACAGACTTCAACGCTGCCTGTGCCTCTACCTCGGTCAACGTCGCTGCTGCTGCTGCTGCTGACGTTGCTTTGTTGTCGGCTCTTTCAATTTTCATCTATGCAACGTGTGAAAGTGATTGCTCTCTATCTCTCTCTCTCTCTCTAGCGGACTGGCTGACTCTCTGTCGCTTTGTCTGTCCTCTACTTCGCTCAATGTTTTCAGGTCATTAAATTCGTCATCGAAATGTTATAGATGCCTCTGTGTGGGAGGGAGAGAACAAGAGGTTATAAGATTTACAGTTTGTTTTTAGTATTATTGACTTTGGCTGTTGCTCCCGCTCCCGCGCCCGCGCCCGCTCCAAAGCTCCTGCTGTAAGCCCCCCGCTTTGTAAGCTTCAGGCTCCCTTTTGAGAGGATGGGCATTCGCCATTTATTGCCGACGGGGCTATTAATAAATAATTAATATTGATTTCGTAGCGTGATATCCAATCAAGGAGCTATTAGCTTTGCGTGCCCATTTTCAAGCTCTACCCAAAACAGGGCAAGTTCCTCCCAAGGATATGGATATTTTCCGCTGTTGTTCGAGGAAATTGACATTGATTGGGGGCCTAATGGCAGGGATAAGATTGCTGTATGGATATGCGCTGTCAAAATTGACCTTGATTTGCCTCTATCATGTTTCGGAAGCGTATTTATATAGTGTGGATTACACTCATTTGCCAAGGAACATGTCCCTTAATAATGTATTATACAAAAAAGGTAGACTCTTCTCCAAGATGTGCTTTGTTGTCTAGACTTTAACTAACTTAATCATTGATTCAATACGAATGGTAAGGAGAACCTATAACTGCTTTATTTTGTGGTTAGACTTTTTGAAACCTCAAATAGGTGGAAAAAAAATCTACTAATCTTTAACTTTGAGGGATTTCTGAATATATTTGTATGTATTTATTTCAGACCCCTTTCCAAAAATGTCTCAAACTTCCCCTCTCGCTCTTTGTTCCCAATTGAAAAATTCGTTTACATTATTTTTGTATATTCACAAAATGTAAGCATATTCGCACGTAAACACATACACATAAACACCTCCAGCCAATTGTAAAAAATTGTTTAATCTAAAAATGTTGTGCATTGATTTTTCAGCTTGAGTTGTTACCGTTACGACCCCTTGTCTGAAAGAGACTGAAGAATTGAGAAGAGGTGCGAAGAAACAACAACAGCAACAAGAAGAAGAAGAAAAAGGGAAAAGGGAAGATGAGAACGAGAACAGCAACAACGTGAGGCTGGCTGGCCGAGAGTGTGAGAGAACACTATTCGCGCACTCCGTCCTACTCCTTCCACCTTATCTTCCTTCATTCATATTTTCTATACACCGTGGGGGCCGGCCTGCTGGGAGAGAGAGGAGTTTGGGTCAGGCGCATTCACACACAATTTTCATATGCCCTCCTCCCGTCTCTCCCTACATTCGCAGGCTATATATAAACATGGTTTTAGTTGAACAGAAAAATGTATAAAACTTTTCGCAATTGCATTCTAGGTTGGCCTAAAAAAGTTTGATTGGAACGGATGCACTGACGATAATAATAAAAGTTTGCAATATTTAAGCTTCTAATACGGAAAAATTCCATTTCCGGTATAAACGGCAACTGTCTATAGGAGTTCGAACTGTTACTGTAGCCCACCCACGCCACACACACCGACACACACCCACACCCATGCACAAAAGACAGGCAGGCAACTTTGTCTAACTGTAAAATTTACTGCGGCTACGTCGACGGCGCTGCTTATTCCCGCTTCCCGTCTTCGCCGTCGCTTTCCTGAATGAAGTTTCTGCTTGGCAGGGAGTCTGGCATCGATTTTTTCCTATGCAGACACACACTCCACTCACACATACACATGCACAGAACACCAACGCACATACACACACGCACCGCACAGTATGCCGCAGAAGAACAACGAACCGACTTTTTCGGCTTTGCCAAATAATTACAGTCAAAAGCTTTTCTCACTACCAAAAGGTCAAGTCAAATCCGAAGTCTTCCAGTTGGAAATGTTACTAAAAATAGCATCATTTCAGCAGAACCGACACTGCACGGGGGAGGGAGGAGGCGAAAGAGACACGACAATTGTCGGAGGGGGTGGTGGATGGTAGGGCAATTGTAATGACAGACGTCGCGGCGGCGACGACGGCGGCGGCAACAACAACCAAACGGTAACGGAAACGGGAACGAGAGACGATGAACAAAACAGAATTCTCTTCGCATTTTGCAATTTGCTTATGAATTACACAAAAACACACACACACGAACAAACATATCTACCCACATATGTACGTGCAAGTCGCGTTTGTTGCTACAATGCGTTTAAACGGAGCCAAAACGTAGCTTTGTTTATGACATCAGTTGGCTATGACCGGTCTCTGGTTCGAAATATACCGTAAGCATACCGATGAAAAAACGACTTAGCCCACCTAGGCCCCATTCATTTAAACTGGATAACTGCTTGAGTTAAACCGCCGAAAATTATAAAAATGACAATAATAATAAATACTCCTGATGGTCCATCCTACCCATCCTATCTTTGCATAAAAAAAGACCACGATATCTTTCACCTAAACTGCGCTAACATTATTAAATTTTCATTATCTTCGGTGGAAAATTGAAATACCCCCTTGGCTTATAATGGGTTAATCGGTCTGCGTCAAGGATTGGAAACCATATTGCTCAATTTTGATGTTCCGTCGAATAATGCCGACTAACTAAAACCTTTAGCTCTGCCCATATAATTTTAGGCCATTGATGAATAAATTCTCTACAAGAGTGGCTATTTTTAAGTACTCCCATTATTTCATTTTGACTACAGCAAGGTTTAGAGTATGGAATGCGCCGTAAGTGAGTGTGGAATGTCACGTCAGGAAGAACAGAGCAGACACACTGACGCATTTATACACTACTTTATATAAAAGAATTTGCTTTGCTTGAATTAATAATGAATTCATTTAAGCAAGTTCAGCTGCAATGAATTTGACTGAATATTTTTAAGGTATTGACCAACCTTTTGAACAATTAGATATACTCTCAAAATGATACATAAAAATCCTGCTCTGACAGAAGAGAGTGCGAGAGTATTGGAGTAGCAGCCATACAAAAGCAACCACACCACACACACACGCGAGAGAGAGCGCGTATTGTTTGTGTGGGAGGGAGGTTGAGTTTCTGTTAAACGTCTGTTAAATCAGCTGACTTTCCAACAGTCGGCGGGAAATTTGAATTTTGTGAATTTTGTATTGATTTTATGTTATAAACAAAATTAAGCTTCAGACGATTTATTTGTTGTCATTTTGTTCATGCAATACTAATATTAATACTTGGACTGACTACAGCTACTTTCTCCTTAACAAATATATCCATGTGAGCATTCTCCACTCTCCTCGGGCTGTATGTTCATCCCGGCTAGTTCCTCGGCAATTGATTCCATAGCTTTTCGCATGCGGTGCGTTTGTCGAGGCTCTCTGTAGAGAGCACTAAGAGATCTTCTAGGCTGAATCTTACTTCGGGTTTGCTTCGCCCTCTGCTGTTCGTTAGCCCCCTTTACTGACTCCTTCTTCTGTATTTGTCTTCTCCGCTCCTCCAAGCGTAGTTCCATTGGCGTCTTCTTTTGTTGGGCAAAGAAATCGGTCCACTTTGCACGTTGCTTTGCCACATAATCGTTGTCAACATCGGAATGAGCACAATACGAGGATGGAAAGATGACCCTGTTATTGCTTTCAACCGATTCGAAACAATCGATGGACTGAAAGTCCATCCTTGCAGTGTGTAGTTTATCTATATTTGTCCTTGGGGAGAGTCTGCTCGAATGATGGACGCGTTGGCTTTTGTGTCCATTCAAATCCTTCAAAAAGTCCATGGAAAACGATCCCCATCCCTGCTTTTCTATGAATTCTGTAAATGACACATCTTTACCTTCTTTTTCTTCTTCTAATATGCACTTGATCTCGTTTACATTTTGGGGATGGCTGTCCTTCGTTTCCAAATGAGATTCTGATCTCTTGATTTCGCATAATTTATCTGGCAGTATCTTAAGATTGGGTTTTTCTAGGGGAGCTCCCTGCCTCGGTTTCAAATGAGTTTCTGATCTCTTGATTACGGGTAGCTCATCTGGCTGTATCTTAAGTTCAAGTTTCTCTGTGGGACCTTCCCCTTGTTTGAGCGTAGCTTCTGCTGCATTTTGGAGATGGCTCTGTTTTGGTTCCAAACGAGTTGCCGAGTTCTTTATTATGGATAGTTTATCTGGCAGTATCTTAACATTGGGCTCTTCTAGGGAAACTTTTTCTTGTTGATGTCCTAATTGGACCTTAGATTGATAGACTCTACTGGGGGTCTTCAAGCGCTTTCTAACGCGGTCCTCCTTCGTATTCTTATACATGATTGTAATTGAATTAAATGTTTTTTTTTTTTAATAGTAAACGTGAAATTTCTTGCTCTGTGTATCTAGCTTTATATGATGTTTATTTCAATGACATATGACTTCCCTTTTTAGATTTATTTTTTGGTGCTTTGGGCTGCCTTTTTCATCACTTCCGCTGCCCTGGCCTTGTTCAGACGCATCTGCTCCAAGTCCCTTTCTCTTTGTGGTATGATTTCTGTGGTGTCTGGTATCCTCGGACATTTGCCAGGCTTTGGTGTCGGCTGCGATGTGGATGGCTGTTCATCAGGTGTTTCTGTTGTTGAAGCCTTTCGTTTGCCACGCTTGGGACGTACGGGCTTGGCCTCGGATTCCACATCCGCTGACTCAGCCTCCGTCGCAGCTTTCTTCGCCCGCCTGGTACGAACGACCTTTTTTGGTTTCTCCGGCGTCTCTGCATCGATCTTGCCCGACATCTTGTCAATGGCCGATTGAACGCGTTTGCTGACCTGAGGCTGTTGGACCCTCAAGGCACTCTTGGCCGTGAAATAGTTGCGAATGGAACCCTGAATCTTTTTCTCGTTGATTTTCTTGATCACCGGCTGGAGGATGTCGTCTGTCTTCGATGTCGTCCAACCGAAAGACTTTCGTGTAAATTCTCTGATCGATTCCACATCCGGCGAACCCCAGCTGAAGGCATCGCGATTGTCGTCCACCTTGGGATCCAGATACGCCTCCACCACGGCCATGTTTGGGAAGCCTTCGTGCAGTTCAATATTCTTCAGCTTCTTTCGAAGCGCCAGGCGGGCGGAACTGCCTGGAGGAAGGCTGGTGCTCTTGTGTGCCTGCCACCAGTCCCGGAATCTAACCAAAGTGGCTAAAACTGATTGGTTGCCACTAGAGGCAGGGCTGGAGGCATCCAGTGTGGTCGAGAAGGAGGCGAGAATTTCCATGGCCGTCACTGCACCAATTCCATGAATGCCCGTGGTGTAGTCACTACCCACCAGGCACGCCAACTGTATCAGCTTGCCCCGATTGCAGTTGAATGTCTGCTCGATCTGCTCGGCCCGGAACTCCAGAACATGCTTGTTCTGGGCGAAGAAGTTCTTGTAGACAGTGCGGCCTCCAAAGAGCCAGATATCGCTGTCATCCGTGATGGTGCCGTGCGTTAGTTCGGTGGCATTCAGGAAGGCACACTGCGCCTCGGCCTCCATGGGGGCTACAATGTATGGTATCCCAAAGAGGCGTAGTAGCTCCTGGCAATCTGTGCTCATGCGTTGGCTTATGGACATGCCCATGCGGTCCTGTCGATTGCGTTCGATTTCCAAGTCCTTGCGTTCCTGGGCCAAATTATCAGCCATCGACTGCAGCTCCTCGGAGGTCTTCTGGGACTTAAGGGTCTCTGCTGCATCTCTGATGAGTTCCTGTAAAAGTATTTTATAGGTTATAGATTAACTAAAAAAAGGGCATTTGCTCCAATATCTTAGTTACCTCAGGATCCACAGTCCTCGGTGGCTCCGTCTCTGGATCGTTTCCCTCAAAAAGAGACTTTGAAGCCTTGCTGGACCTTTTCGTGGGCGAAACTCCCTCATCACTGTCGTCCGACCCACCAGCAGCTCGTTTTCGATCAGATTTGGGTGTTCGCTTCCTGTAGAATGGTTGCGGTACCTTTGGTGTACCCGGCGGTGTACCGTTATCGGCCACTGGCGACTTGTCCGGTGTCCTTTTCACCACATAACTGGTGTCAAAGAAATCCTTTATGGATTTGTTTTTGCTCGGCGTTTTATTGGGGGAAATTCGTTGCTTCTGATTGTCATCGCTGTCGCATAACTCAATCACTTCTTCGGTGTTGGCATTGCCTTTGACTTTGGAGACTGCTTCGTCGTCGGAGGATACTTCAATGATAGTGCTATTGTTCAGCTTTACCTGCTCCAGCTTGATGTTCTTCACGGCAGACATTTCTTTCTGCAGGTCATCGAGAATGGAGCTTAGAACAGGCTTGGGTTTGGTTTCAGCTTCGGGCTCGTCCACTGCTAGTTTGATTTCTTTGACTGCCTCGGTTTCCTTTTTCAAATCGTTCAATATAGAGTCCAAGTCAGGTTTTATTTTATCCTGGCTTGTGTCTGCTGTTTCTTTGTTCTCCTCCTGTTCAGAAGGCATTTCTTCTTGGCTTTCTTTTACTTCGATTATTTCAGTTCCTGGACTAGTTTCATCTGTGATTGGTTTCTCCTGTGAATCTTCAATGATCTTCAATTCCTCACTCTCTGGTACTTCTATGAAATCTTCATCATCATCGCTTTCATCTGCCGCTTTTTCCTTGCCAGAGTCCTCTTCGAATATATCCGCAAATAGATCGTTGGTGGGTTTTAGATTATTAGTGATGTCCAAACGAATTTCTAGACCAGCCGATGCCTTGGTTTCCACAACTTCCTCCAAATCAGAGTCCGTATCCGTGTCTATTATCTGTACCTTATCCTCTAGGAGACTCTTCTTGCTCTCTTCAATGGCCTTTGAGAGTTGCTTGGCCTCCTCCACTGAATCGTTTGCTATATCGACGGGGACTACAGTTGTGCCTAGTAAGTGTTCGAGGCTTTGCGTATCATTCAATTGAGTGGACTCCATTATGTTGCCCACCTCCTCATCGTTCATGCCGCCATATTCAATCATGTATGCCCTGGCCGGACCCTTGGCTGCGTGTCGCAACTGTTTGCTTTGAGCGCGATTGAGCCGCAACTCCTGATCCGAGTCATAGTCGTAGTCCTTCTCGTCATACACTTTTGTGGTGCTCTCTTCCAGTGAGAGGGCCAAGGCCTGCGCCAAGTCCGCATCGTATTCAGTGCCCATTTCAACAGTCTCCGCCTTGCTGGATGTAGATGGCTTCTCCTCATCAACTGGCGGCTTTGTCTCTGGCAGCTCCTCAATTGTCTCCATTTTCATCTCGGTTTTGGTGCTCTCCAATGCCTTCTTCTTGAGATCCCTGACCAGCAGGAATCGCGTATGCTCATCCGAGCTGATTTGCCGCGTGCTCTGCTCTATGGCCGTGGGCGTTACAATACCCTCCTCGCTGAAAAAGTCACACAGCTCGGAATAGGTAAGCGTGTGTCCGCCCATTTCCTGTTCCGCCTGCTCCAGGCTCTCCTGGACGGCGCGTCGCTTCAGCAGACGCTTCATCTGGAAGGAGCAGAAGTCATCGCTGCGGGCGGGTAACTCATGCAGGCGCCCCCACGAAGACTGTTTGCGCGTCTCCTTAATGTCGGTGAGTATCTCGTGACGAACGTCGGCGGGAAGGTTCTTAAAGTTCTGACTCTTGACATCGATGGCCTGCAGACTCGAATTGTACGCATGTCGAGCGGTGGACTCATCAAATGAGCTATCCGAAGTGGCACTGGCACTGGTGTAGTCCAAATCCTGGTCGCTTTCATCTGGGTTATCCTGCCCAGCGGCCAAAGCCGGCAATTCTGGCAGCTTAAATAGATCATCCTCATCGTTTTTGGACTTGCTGGGCGGCGGTCGTTTCACCGGTGATTTCAACAAAAGCTCAGCATTCTTGCCCAGCGCCTGTTGCACAACCTTCTCCCTGGCCAGGGACTGCAAGAGAAGAGCCTGTATGCGGTCTGCTTCGTTGCTAAGTTTATTGCGCTGCTGCTGACGACGCGCCTAAAAAGAGAGCATCAACAAATGTTAGTCTTGCAAGTGCGACAAAGACAGAGGCAAAAGAATAACCCACAATCGTGTCCCTTTTCAGTTGAGGCGTACATCCATCGAATATGAAGACTGGCCTCACCCGGTAGTAGAGCAGCTTGCACAGGCGATGAAACAAACCCAAAAGATGGGCATTGTTCAGAGCGGAGCCCTTGTTATCCTGGAAACCCTTCACAACCTGATGCAGCCATATGGATATGTCTGCAAGAGCGTGGTTACAATTGAAATTAGATATAATTTCACAAAGCCGTGAAATCGAAGACTCACCCACGGCCAGTATTTTCCCTTCTAAAGTCTCAACCGGCACGGGCTTGCCGCAGGGCTCGATTAGCTTCCACAAGCCCGTGACTCCCATGCTTCATGCAAATATACAACTCCAATAATATAAAACATGCAAAACAAAATAAATAGTGTTGTAAACTGCCACGAATACAGTAGAGTTCAGTAGTACAGTAGACATTGGAATGAATGCACGATTCTGGGAATTAATAGACAACAAAACATGCCGACTTCTTTGTTTACGTAGATTAGTTTATAATGGATACCATCGAATATGTGTGTGGAGTTTTCGATCCTTACAACAAAATAATATATGTACTAAGTTTAAGCTTAAGATAACATATTCTTTAACATGATTCGACTTAGGGCTAATATTTGATTAAAGTGCCTCTTCGGTTGCTCCACTGCCACTGGCAGAGACATCTGCAGCACCACTGGCATCCTTCTTGCTGGCCTTGCTGTCCTTTTTGTCCTTCACAACTTTGCGATACACTTCCAGATCCTGCGACAGCGACGGCACGAAACTCTCAAAGTCCAGTTCCGTTAGGGTCTGCATTATATCCTTTGCCGTGATGGTCTTGTGGTTCTGTTTGTGTGCCAGTGCCGTCGATGAGGATGTCACAAAGATTGTAAAAACGGACGCAGCTCTGGCAATGGCCGCACGCGCCTCCTTGCTCACGTTCGCCCCATCAGGCAAGGCCTCCTTGATTAGCCGCGCAATCACTGCATTGGGTAGGTTCAAATCCTCAATACGTTCAACCATTTTCTGCTGAGGTTCCTTGTCCTTTAGCTAACTTAACGTTCAAAATGCTGAATGTTGGATGTGATCCGGCGTCCGTCTCTTCCCGCGTAAACAAAACAGCTGACGGTGCTGGAAAGCACCAACGCATGAAATTCTGGGATTGGCAGTGTGGCCAGGTTTTGAGCGTCAAAATAAGCTAGATTTCACAAAAACACAAGCTAGAACAAGCTAAAAATGGCTAAAAATAAAAAAAACACATATATATACACATTTCTATATTTATCGCTGGAAATTTAAATATTTCTCCGGTAATTGGTAGTTGTGGCAACATTTGCCATGACGGCGCAATCCATATCGTAAAATTCAAAAGAATTATAGTCGTATTCATCAGACAATTAATTTAAATTAAAAAAATTTAATTAATTAAAATTAAAAAAATTAAATTAATTAAAATTAATTAAAATTAAAAAATTAAATTAATTAAAATTAATTAAAATTAAAAAATTAAATTAATTAAAATTAATTAAAATTAAAAAAATTAAAACAAACCTTTTTTTTAATATTGAGTTTAAGGATTTAACAGTCATTTTGTTCCTAAGCTTGGTCTTAACAAACATACTTTTTGTTCGATTTTCCTAAAAATATGGCTAGATTTAAGGTATCAGATTTTCATAATTTTTCAAGCTTTTCCGTTTTCAAATAAGCTAGATCTAGCCTTAAATAGGCTAAAATGGCAACACTGTCTAGCAGCACCACTAATTTAGTCCACATTTGTTTGCGCTTTATTTTTGCCACTTTACCAAAAAGTCGGCATAAATGTGCAACCAGCTTCGGCATAACTTGAAATATATTTTCTGCGAACACAGGTGATAAGAGCCTTGTGCGTGTGCCAACGAATTTAAGCGCCGCGCACAGCACATGGAGCAGAGCGCGCCAGGGACGCCAAAGAAGCGCAAACACAGCGAGTACCACGATCCAGACTATCTCCAAACAGCTTCAACTAATGAAGATAGTGAGGATGCAGCTACAAACCAGCAAAAGCGGACGAAACTGGAGACGGAGTCGGCGGCCGAGGAGGAGGAAGAAGAGTTGGATAAATCAGCTCAGCCACAGCGCGTGCCCGTGCCAGACACAACGGAGAAGTTGGAGCGTATCTGTGAGATCGTCCGCGTAGAATTTCAGAGGGAAATCTCGCTTAAGGATGAGCAGCTGGCCGAGATAGATAGACGACTGCTGCAGGCGCGTCAACTGCTGGACAAGCTGCGCTTTGAAGTGGTCAGCGAGTACTATAGGAAGCAACAGGTTCCCCTCACAGCGGGCGACGTGGCCAAAGTGCGCGGTGGCGAATCACTGTTCAGCGATGAAAGCGCTGGTCCACAGTTGCCTCTGCATCCGGCCATTAAGAAGATTGTCGGAAAGCGCCCATTGCTCATCCAGAACCACCTGCCAGAGCGCACGGCTGCCACACTGGCCAAGCAGACAATAAGGCAGCGAAACCCAGCGCACCGCCGTGCGGAGCGTCGCAGACAGCAAAAGATTCGCGAGCAGGGAATTGTCATCGATCATTCAAAAGATCAACAGCAGCAATCAATCAATATCAAGGTGGAAGATGAGCAGCCATGCACCAGTCGTCAGGCACACGAGCGGCAACAGCAGCAGCAACTGGAGCTGAATGCTTCGCGATTGAACAACAAGAACAAATTCAACTTTGTGGTGGGCAACACATCCAAATACATTGGTGGGGAAGGCAAAACTACATTGGAGAATGGTGGCCAGGCCCTTGTCTACAAATGGCTGGTCTATGTCCAGGGTAAAGATCTGCCAAAACCCCTGGAGACGTATATCAAGAAGGTGAGTCTGTCGCTGTTAGCCAGTGCAACCTTTTTAACCCATTCTATTTTCATTTTAGGTGCGCTTTCAGCTGCATCATTCGTATCGGCCCAACGACATTGTGGATGTTCATGCGCCGCCATTTCAGTTGAATCGTCGTGGCTGGGGCGAGTTCCCCATGCGGATACAGCTGTTCTTCCACGAGCATCTGCGCCAAAAGCCCGTGCAACTCATGCACACGGTCGTGCTGGATAAGACAATGTGTGGCCTTCATACGATGGGGGCGGAGACTACTGTCGAGATTTGGTTGAGAGCGGAACGAGCTAAGGTCAAGCAGGAACCAATCGAGCCTCCTCCTCCCCCAATGCCTGTGGCTGCTCCTTCACCTTCTGCTGCTGCTCTTCCAGCTCCTTCTGCTCTTCCTCCAGCTCCCTTCCCACCCCCCATTGAGTGTTTAAAGCCCCGAACGATATCCATCACCCAAAACAAAGAGGAACTGGATGACAACCTCTTTGCCGGCATCAACAAGATCGAAATGAGCGACGACATCGAGCAGATTGAGCCAACGGTTTTGGTCACGGAGCCCCGGAAGCTCATTTCTTCTTGGCTTTCTTTTACTTCGATTATTTCAGTTCCTGGACTAGTTTCATCTGTGATTGGTTTCTCCTGTGAATCTTCAATGATCTTCAATTCCTCACTCTCTGGTACTTCTATGAAATCTTCATCATCATCGCTTTCATCTGCCGCTTTTTCCTTGCCAGAGTCCTCTTCGAATATATCCGCAAATAGATCGTTGGTGGGTTTTAGATTATTAGTGATGTCCAAACGAATTTCTAGACCAGCCGATGCCTTGGTTTCCACAACTTCCTCCAAATCAGAGTCCGTATCCGTGTCTATTATCTGTACCTTATCCTCTAGGAGACTCTTCTTGCTCTCTTCAATGGCCTTTGAGAGTTGCTTGGCCTCCTCCACTGAATCGTTTGCTATATCGACGGGGACTACAGTTGTGCCTAGTAAGTGTTCGAGGCTTTGCGTATCATTCAATTGAGTGGACTCCATTATGTTGCCCACCTCCTCATCGTTCATGCCGCCATATTCAATCATGTATGCCCTGGCCGGACCCTTGGCTGCGTGTCGCAACTGTTTGCTTTGAGCGCGATTGAGCCGCAACTCCTGATCCGAGTCATAGTCGTAGTCCTTCTCGTCATACACTTTTGTGGTGCTCTCTTCCAGTGAGAGGGCCAAGGCCTGCGCCAAGTCCGCATCGTATTCAGTGCCCATTTCAACAGTCTCCGCCTTGCTGGATGTAGATGGCTTCTCCTCATCAACTGGCGGCTTTGTCTCTGGCAGCTCCTCAATTGTCTCCATTTTCATCTCGGTTTTGGTGCTCTCCAATGCCTTCTTCTTGAGATCCCTGACCAGCAGGAATCGCGTATGCTCATCCGAGCTGATTTGCCGCGTGCTCTGCTCTATGGCCGTGGGCGTTACAATACCCTCCTCGCTGAAAAAGTCACACAGCTCGGAATAGGTAAGCGTGTGTCCGCCCATTTCCTGTTCCGCCTGCTCCAGGCTCTCCTGGACGGCGCGTCGCTTCAGCAGACGCTTCATCTGGAAGGAGCAGAAGTCATCGCTGCGGGCGGGTAACTCATGCAGGCGCCCCCACGAAGACTGTTTGCGCGTCTCCTTAATGTCGGTGAGTATCTCGTGACGAACGTCGGCGGGAAGGTTCTTAAAGTTCTGACTCTTGACATCGATGGCCTGCAGACTCGAATTGTACGCATGTCGAGCGGTGGACTCATCAAATGAGCTATCCGAAGTGGCACTGGCACTGGTGTAGTCCAAATCCTGGTCGCTTTCATCTGGGTTATCCTGCCCAGCGGCCAAAGCCGGCAATTCTGGCAGCTTAAATAGATCATCCTCATCGTTTTTGGACTTGCTGGGCGGCGGTCGTTTCACCGGTGATTTCAACAAAAGCTCAGCATTCTTGCCCAGCGCCTGTTGCACAACCTTCTCCCTGGCCAGGGACTGCAAGAGAAGAGCCTGTATGCGGTCTGCTTCGTTGCTAAGTTTATTGCGCTGCTGCTGACGACGCGCCTAAAAAGAGAGCATCAACAAATGTTAGTCTTGCAAGTGCGACAAAGACAGAGGCAAAAGAATAACCCACAATCGTGTCCCTTTTCAGTTGAGGCGTACATCCATCGAATATGAAGACTGGCCTCACCCGGTAGTAGAGCAGCTTGCACAGGCGATGAAACAAACCCAAAAGATGGGCATTGTTCAGAGCGGAGCCCTTGTTATCCTGGAAACCCTTCACAACCTGATGCAGCCATATGGATATGTCTGCAAGAGCGTGGTTACAATTGAAATTAGATATAATTTCACAAAGCCGTGAAATCGAAGACTCACCCACGGCCAGTATTTTCCCTTCTAAAGTCTCAACCGGCACGGGCTTGCCGCAGGGCTCGATTAGCTTCCACAAGCCCGTGACTCCCATGCTTCATGCAAATATACAACTCCAATAATATAAAACATGCAAAACAAAATAAATAGTGTTGTAAACTGCCACGAATACAGTAGAGTACAGTAGTACAGTAGACATTGGAATGAATGCACGATTCTGGGAATTAATAGACAACAAAACATGCCGACTTCTTTGTTTACGTAGATTAGTTTATAATGGATACCATCGAATATGTGTGTGGAGTTTTCGATCCTTACAACAAAATAATATATGTACTAAGTTTAAGCTTAAGATAACATATTCTTTAACATGATTCGACTTAGGGCTAATATTTGATTAAAGTGCCTCTTCGGTTGCTCCACTGCCACTGGCAGAGACATCTGCAGCACCACTGGCATCCTTCTTGCTGGCCTTGCTGTCCTTTTTGTCCTTCACAACTTTGCGATACACTTCCAGATCCTGCGACAGCGACGGCACGAAACTCTCAAAGTCCAGTTCCGTTAGGGTCTGCATTATATCCTTTGCCGTGATGGTCTTGTGGTTCTGTTTGTGTGCCAGTGCCGTCGATGAGGATGTCACAAAGATTGTAAAAACGGACGCAGCTCTGGCAATGGCCGCACGCGCCTCCTTGCTCACGTTCGCCCCATCAGGCAAGGCCTCCTTGATTAGCCGCGCAATCACTGCATTGGGTAGGTTCAAATCCTCAATACGTTCAACCATTTTCTGCTGAGGTTCCTTGTCCTTTAGCTAACTTAACGTTCAAAATGCTGAATGTTGGATGTGATCCGGCGTCCGTCTCTTCCCGCGTAAACAAAACAGCTGACGGTGCTGGAAAGCACCAACGCATGAAATTCTGGGATTGGCAGTGTGGCCAGGTTTTGAGCGTCAAAATAAGCTAGATTTCACAAAAACACAAGCTAGAACAAGCTAAAAATGGCTAAAAATAAAAAAAACACATATATATACACATTTCTATATTTATCGCTGGAAATTTAAATATTTCTCCGGTAATTGGTAGTTGTGGCAACATTTGCCATGACGGCGCAATCCATATCGTAAAATTCAAAAGAATTATAGTCGTATTCATCAGACAATTAATTTAAATTAAAAAAATTTAATTAATTAAAATTAAAAAATTAAATTAATTAAAATTAATTAAAATTAAAAAATTAAATTAATTAAAATTAATTAAAATTAAAAAATTAAATTAATTAAAATTAATTAAAATTAAAAAAATTAAAACAAACCTTTTTTTTAATATTGAGTTTAAGGATTTAACAGTCATTTTGTTCCTAAGCTTGGTCTTAACAAACATACTTTTTGTTCGATTTTCCTAAAAATATGGCTAGATTTAAGGTATCAGATTTTCATAATTTTTCAAGCTTTTCCGTTTTCAAATAAGCTAGATCTAGCCTTAAATAGGCTAAAATGGCAACACTGTCTAGCAGCACCACTAATTTAGTCCACATTTGTTTGCGCTTTATTTTTGCCACTTTACCAAAAAGTCGGCATAAATGTGCAACCAGCTTCGGCATAACTTGAAATATATTTTCTGCGAACACAGGTGATAAGAGCCTTGTGCGTGTGCCAACGAATTTAAGCGCCGCGCACAGCACATGGAGCAGAGCGCGCCAGGGACGCCAAAGAAGCGCAAACACAGCGAGTACCACGATCCAGACTATCTCCAAACAGCTTCAACTAATGAAGATAGTGAGGATGCAGCTACAAACCAGCAAAAGCGGACGAAACTGGAGACGGAGTCGGCGGCCGAGGAGGAGGAAGAAGAGTTGGATAAATCAGCTCAGCCACAGCGCGTGCCCGTGCCAGACACAACGGAGAAGTTGGAGCGTATCTGTGAGATCGTCCGCGTAGAATTTCAGAGGGAAATCTCGCTTAAGGATGAGCAGCTGGCCGAGATAGATAGACGACTGCTGCAGGCGCGTCAACTGCTGGACAAGCTGCGCTTTGAAGTGGTCAGCGAGTACTATAGGAAGCAACAGGTTCCCCTCACAGCGGGCGACGTGGCCAAAGTGCGCGGTGGCGAATCACTGTTCAGCGATGAAAGCGCTGGTCCACAGTTGCCTCTGCATCCGGCCATTAAGAAGATTGTCGGAAAGCGCCCATTGCTCATCCAGAACCACCTGCCAGAGCGCACGGCTGCCACACTGGCCAAGCAGACGATAAGGCAGCGAAACCCAGCGCACCGCCGTGCGGAGCGTCGCAGACAGCAAAAGATTCGCGAGCAGGGAATTGTCATCGATCATTCAAAAGATCAACAGCAGCAATCAATCAATATCAAGGTGGAAGATGAGCAGCCATGCACCAGTCGTCAGGCACACGAGCGGCAACAGCAGCAGCAACTGGAGCTGAATGCTTCGCGATTGAACAACAAGAACAAATTCAACTTTGTGGTGGGCAACACATCCAAATACATTGGTGGGGAAGGCAAAACTACATTGGAGAATGGTGGCCAGGCCCTTGTCTACAAATGGCTGGTCTATGTCCAGGGCAAAGATCTGCCAAAACCCCTGGAGACGTATATCAAGAAGGTGAGTCTGTCGCTGTTAGCCAGTGCAACCTTTTTAACCCATTCTATTTTCATTTTAGGTGCGCTTTCAGCTGCATCATTCGTATCGGCCCAACGACATTGTGGATGTTCATGCGCCGCCATTTCAGTTGAATCGTCGTGGCTGGGGCGAGTTCCCCATGCGGATACAGCTGTTCTTCCACGAGCATCTGCGCCAAAAGCCCGTGCAACTCATGCACACGGTCGTGCTGGATAAGACAATGTGTGGCCTTCATACGATGGGGGCGGAGACTACTGTCGAGATTTGGTTGAGAGCGGAACGAGCTAAGGTCAAGCAGGAACCAATCGAGCCTCCTCCTCCCCCAATGCCTGTGGCTGCTCCTATACCTTCTGCTGCTGCTCTTCCAGCTCCTTCTGCTCTTCCTCCAGCTTCCTTCCCACCCCCCATTGAGTGTTTAAAGCCCCGAACGATATCCATCACCCAAAACAAAGAGGAACTGGATGACAACCTCTTTGCCGGCATCAACAAGATCGAAATGAGCGACGACATCGAGCAGATTGAGCCAACGGTTTTGGTCACGGAGCCCCTGAAGCTCAGCTATAGCCCCAAAATGCAGCCGCCCACAGGAACTTTACCGTTGAGATCGCCACTCCGAGTGAATGTAACTCGGCCAAGCGCCTCGCGGCCATCTGTGGCACACCTGCCCGTCAATGGTAACAGTCCAAGCCCCATCAAGAGTGAGAAATCGGGTCAGGTGCGACAGGCTCAGAACGGACATCGGGCCAAGCAAAATGTTGTCTTCCAGAAGGCGGGAAAGCTGTACATTATCGATCCGCAGCAGAGCAAGCTGAAACAAGCGACACAGCAGCGATCGCTGCTGAAGCCGCAAGTGAGTCTGCTGAAGGCGCCGGCAGTGAATCGCCGCCATCAGCTGGTGTGCATCCAGCACGATCATGGCTATGCAGACATGTCGAGTGTTTATATGAAGGAGGAGCTGCAGGAACTGATCAACATGTTGCCGAAACGCTGCTGGACATCATCTCTGGTAAATACTGCACCGATTCGACCCCGGAAACTGGATCAGATCTTTGGCAGCGTCCAGTTCAAGAGCATGCGCAGCGCTGTGGAGTTTCTGCTGCGGCGCTTGCCACTGACAGGCAGTCCGAGAGGGGATGAAGAGCCGGCCTTCGTGTGTCCCCCCAATCTGTTGGCCTTCCAGGAACAGTCTGCGTTGCGGCAACGTTTCTACGAGTACGTGCGGGCTCGGCACCTGCGTCGCTGTATGATGCAGCACCCTGGATTGCAGCAGTTGTATGACAGTGGCAAGGAGGTCTACTGGAGCCTGCGTGAGATCGTGGGCTTTGCCCGTCTACATGCGTACACACCGCCGCTGAAGATGTTGACACCCACCGAAAAGCGGCAAACGAAGCAGGGAAGCGAAGAGCAGCTGTCACAGCGTGTCCAGGACCAGCTCAAGGAGGATCCACAACCGCATCTGTCGGCCTATTGCAGTGTCAGCTCCACCAATCGCATCGATGCCTGGATAGCGAAGCAAACGGGTCGCCTTCAGGGGCATGAACACGAAATACAGGATCAAGAGTTCATCGATGTCTTGGGTGTGGACGCCTCCAATCTTCGACCCCTCAGCCAGCGAAAAGCGCAGTGCGCCTCTGTGGCAAACAATCGCCAGCTGCTGTACCTGCCCCCACCGGAGCACCTTGAGACGGCGACGCAGCTGGTCCAGGACATGTGCAAGGACATCAACATCGGCCTCGAGGCGGAAGAGTCCACGCCTGGTGTCTCTCAGTCGCTCTCCCTGACACTGCTCGGCCGTGTGCTGAGCATGTTTGTGGAGCGACTGGTGCGCCGTTCTGTGGCAGTAAAGCTCCACCAGGACACCATTGAACAGCTGCCGCCGCCCGCCGCCAATGTGCCGCTCTGCCTGCAGCCATACGACATTGGTCGGGCGATTTCGCAATGCCCGGATATGGATTTCCTTGGGAATAGCCACCTGGGGGTGACTCCCATTGAGCCGCAGCCGTAGCTGTGCGAATTTATTTGTTTTTAGCAGCACGCAATTCACAGTTCAAATTCTCCTGGGATATTAGTCGATACCTACGTGTAATCTTTGTTTGACTAAGCTTTAGAATAAGGAATTAAATTAACTAATTTAACACAGACAAGTTCTTCGGCTGGATAGAGCGGAGAGGGTATCGACGGTGCGACTTTTCTCTGTGTGCTCAGAAGTATGCTGCAAAATATTTCAAATTTCCTTTTTGTATCGGTTTCCGCTAATTACCGAAATTCTCAATACAACCAGGCGGGAGGAGAGCAAAAGAGATCACTCGATATTGTGCATCCATCCGCTTCGCATTGCATTTCTCTTTTGGCGCCCGTTATGTTCTCTTTATGGCCCACGCGCTCCACGCTCCACTCTACTCTCTACTATTTTCATTCATACGGCGGGAGCGCGCGCATGCTGCTGGCTGCTGCCTGGTCCATCTGTTGATCCGATTCTGTCCTCTGTTTTTCTCAATCTCTTTTAGTCTCTTTTCCAACGTTCGCGGAACAACTTCTGAAAAACAGAGAAGGAGCTCGCTTCCCGCGCTGTGCCGCGGCCTATTAAATTTAGTTCTTTTCAAAATATCTACTCGTACAGAATAATGATTCATGAATAATATATTTCTAAAGGCTTTTCAATGCGACATTGTTTCTCCAGTACGTGGTTCTATAATAAGCCCGCCCCCTCCATGTGTGTGTGTGTGTGTTTGGTGTGTCGCTGTGTTTGTGATCGTGTGACAGAAAATGTGAGGCGGGCGCTAAAATGTTCTATTTTTATTTTGCAGTAAAAGCCACAAACGCTGCCCACAGCCAAGTGTCTGCCTGAGATGCAAATGTGTAGTACGAATATGTTTCGGATGCTGTTGCGACGACGCCAAATTGTATTCGCGGCCCACACGCCGCCGCTCGATCCTTAGATCTCTTTCTGGACAAGTCCAACCAACCCCTTTCCCACTTACCCGTCGAGCAGCACCTTCACACAAAACACAGACCTTCGAAACGCCTTGGGGCGTCTTCCAATGATGCGAATTCCGTTTATTCACATAATCAAAGTAATTTTCGTGCTCTCAACAGTTGTCGTCGTCACAGGTAAGCGCAACAACAAATGCCGCGCTGCCCAAACCTGTCAAGTCGCTGCCGTATCAGTGCAATTGCAATCAAGAGGCTGCCAGACTGCACTTCCACTCTCTTGCTCTTTCTTTGCAGATTGTTGTTCGAGCCGAATTCTACTACTCCGCGAGCACACGCTGAAAATTGTGCAGCATCAGCACAATTTTCACAACCATATGCACGAGCATGCTCACGAGCTGCAGCAGCAGATCGAGGAGCATGTGGTCCAGCTGGTCAACCAGATGGAGCTGCAGCAGCAACAGCAAGAGGAGCAGCAGCAGCAGCAGCAGTTGCAGGCCACGGTCCGCGAAGTGCCACCAGATCCACGAGAGGATGAAGACGGGGAGCTCTTACCCAACACGGTTGAAGAAGCTTCAGTGGAACCCATGCTGGAAGAACAGCTACTGGGAGAGCAGCCAACAGCAGAGCCTCCTGCCAGCAGTACAGACTCTTCGCTAGCTGGCGAGAGCACCACAAAAACAGATGGTACCACGGAGACAACGACACTCAGTACAGTGACTCACACGGGCGAACCGCCACCCGATGACAGCTCGCCCAGTACGAGGGCCACGCTCTCGACTACAATCCCACCGGACAAGGTCAAAGATACGGCCGAGATCATCATGCTGCCCTGTAGAGACTCCTTCAAGACGAGCTTCTGCCTGAATGGCGGCAACTGCTTCCGGTATCCGCTCGGTAACCAAAGTCTTTACTCGTGCCTCTGCGCAGACGGCTATGACGGACAACGATGCGAGTTCAAGAACTGGAATGGTGAGACTGAGACCCAGTGGGCGGGAAACACTACTCTATTCTAGCCAGCATTTCTTCTTCCGTTTTGCAGGGGACTATGTGAAGGCCCCGCCGGCACTAGAGGCACACCCGAAGATCCGAATGGCGCGCATCGTCTTCTCCTTTCCCATGCTCATCCTTCTATCGACGATCTACGTGCTGTTTGCGGCCGTATTCATGCTCCGCAATGCGCCCGAGTACCGCCGGAAGCAGCAACAACTACACTTGCACAAGCAACGGTTTTTTGTCAGATGTTGAGCCAGCCCCGAAAGCGGGGGCTGCCAACTTTATGCGGCGTTTTTGTATTATTATTTTTGCCAGTTGGGCAAATTTTTGTTGATTTGGAAACGACTTTGGTTTCACAATACTCGAATATTTTGTAGATGGTAGGACTCTATGACCATATCTTTACGTTGCGCAACGCAAAGTTAACGCTTTAATTTATTGAATACATTTAGTATACTTAGTAGGATTTTCTATTTAGTTGCAAAAGACGCACACATTAGTAATTCTCATATTTTTTTCTCATTTGTTTCGCTTTTGAAGCTTTCGTTGGAGCTTTTGTAGTTTGTTTTTGTGGTAACATTTTGTTACGTTACGTTACGCTACGTACGTTAAATTAACCATAACGAAATATTTAGAATGTACTTAGGAGATAATCTTAGCGCCTACTCCTCCAGTTACCGCACAACTATTTCTTTCCGTAACACTCTGTTACATCCAAATCGTATTGTATGGAGAAACGTATTTTTTTTGTAGTAGTGCATTAAAGAGAAATGGGACTCGAAACGGGACAACCAAAAAACGTTCTCGACTGTGTTTCCTTTTATTTTTTGTTTCAGCCCTGATTTTGGTCCGCTTTGCCCTGTATCTGGTCTGGGGGACTGGCAGTGAAGCACGCTGTTGGGTGTTTATATTTTATAATATATATTTTATCCAATATTTCGTCCAAAAATTCTTTACAAATTTCTTCGAACTTACAGTTAAATGTATAGTAGAAATTATTCAAAAAATTCTCCTCACATTCATCATTATCATCGTTTCGCGTATGGATTGTTGTATGGTTGTATGGTGGTGTTGTTTTCTCCTTCTATCAAGATCTTCAATATGAGAATGGTATGTATGCGCGTGTGTGGGCGTGAGGGGAGTACGAGTATACGTGTGTATGCGTTTGGGTGTGTATGGGAGGGAGGTGTGTGCGAATGAGGCGAATTTATTCCCATTAACTGGGGGTAGGGAAACCCCCCTTTGATGGAATTCAGATGCACCAACACGGAACAGTGGCTGCCGCGTCTATTGGTGGGTGTGGGTGTGGTTGGTGTGTGTGTGTGTGTGTCAAGTGCAACTCTGACTTTATCTTGGATTAGGGATATGAAGTTCGTACAAAAATTATTAAAATATGTAAATGTTAAAAAATGTATTTTTACTTTTGTTTTGTTTTTTTGTTTGTTCTCTCTCTCGTTTATCTTGTAATTGTTGTTTTTGTTTTTACTTTGCGTTCTTTTGTTTCTTGTATCGTTTTGTTGTTGCTTTCTTATTTCTTTTGTTTTGTTTTTTTTTGTTGGTTTTCTGTTTTAATAATATGTAATATTATATATAATAATTATGAGTAGGATTATTCGCATGTAACGGGCAGTTCCTGTGTTGTCTGGTCTGCCGCGGCATTCTTCTCCTTCAGATCCTTGGCGATATCCTGGCAAATATAGAAATGTCGGAATTAGATATATTCATAGAAATGGATGGTTTGTTTTTGTGTGTGTTTTAGGCAAACAAAGTGGGAAAAAACTTAAAGCACAACAACAACAATTAAGGAGAAAGTATATGACGACGAGGAGCAAAGAGGATCCTCCATCGACACACAGCCAACGCAACAACAAAACAAAATGTTACCAAAAAATGAATCAATATTAATTAATGTAAGCGATTTTTGGGTGTACAACAATTATATCAATGTAGGTACAGTTGTGTATGGTCTGGTGTGTGTTTAGTGAGAGAGAGAGAGAGAGACAGAGACAGAGACAGAGAGAGCGCAGGAGTTACGGCAGCCAAACAGATGAGGGGAACAGAGAGTTATTTGTATATGGGCGAGGAGGGATTTGTCGCTTGTGTGTTTGCCAGTGTGTGTGTGTTGGTGGTTTGTGTAGATGTTTGTGTGTGTGTGTGTTTGCGTGTAACAGGATTAGGATGAATGCAATTTCATATGTGGTTGGATTTATTTTTATTGTTATCGCCAAAATGCAGCAGTCCCCACCCAAAATACATTTAACACTCTGTTTGTTATACCCTGATTTAGTAGTACATCATTCCGGGGGAAGGAGGTTACATCACCAAAGATTCTCATGCACAATGGGGTAAACCATCATCAAAATCAATCAATGTCAACACTAAATGAACTACATTTAACTACGGCAACAAAGCGCGCATTATAATTTGTGGTATTCCTACAAATGCTTTTGAACTTGTACGATCATTAATTTGTTGAATATTTTTTGCTTTTCAAATCATCAACATTTACTGGAATACCACTAACAACAACTGATTGTATGTGGATGCAAATGGGGGAGTAGGACACACAGAAGAGAGACAGAAAGCAAAGAGGAGAACGTGAAGAGCTCGCTGAGCGGCTGGGTGAGTGATTGGCTCCAACCATGTATGCGCAAATGGCTCACGATGGACGTTTGCTATTCACCTTGTTGTTGCTCTCTTCCTCTGCTTCGTCCACTCGGACATCCACCTGTGGCAGTTCCCCAATTTTAGTGATGAGCGTAGCAGCCTGATCGCTGATGATGTTATCGACAATACTGTCGTCATCGCTTTGTGATTCAACGATTTGCTCCTGTTCTGGCGCTCTCGGCTCGCTCTCTTCATCATCATCATCCGCTGGTGTCGGCTCGGCTGGCACTTCATTACCATCTATGGACGTGGAAGATGCGATTTCGATTGTTTCCTCGACGACGATCGCTGGGGAGGACACCAGCTGTTCTAGTTCCTCCTCTGCGAGCTTATCTTTTTGGTCTTCGGTCACAATATCGGCTGCCTGTTCGGTTATTTCATCCACAATGCTGATGGCCTGCTTCTCAATTTCAGAGCGTTCTGCCTCAGTCGGTGAGGCCTGTGCCTGAGCCTGTGTCTGCGTCTGTTCTGGCTCGTCGATTGCATCCTCGGCTAGGACAAACGCAGAGACACGGGAGGGTGGCGGCGACTTGGGCAACGGTGGCGGACTGCTGTTTCGCACCTCAACAACTACATCGTCAATGGCTGTGGCAGGAACAGAGCTGGGCTCTGAAACAGACTCTGTATCGACTGGAATTTCGGCTACAGGGGAAACGGGAACAACAGCTTCACGTGTCTCTGGCTCAGTGGGGGACTCAAGTGCTGATTCGGGTTCAGTTTTGGATTCAGTTTCGGTTTCGGGGTCAACAACAACGAATCCCTCGGAATCGGCATCGCCCTCCACCTCGCTACTAACCGCTTGAATGATTGCCTCAACGACTTGAGCTTCTTCTTCTGCTGCTTCTGCTGCCTGGAGGATCGTATTGGTTAGGATTGTTTGGGTCTGAACTAACTCTGCGGCTGCTACAACAGTCTCGGTCTCATAGGTGGTTTTTGTAGTGGTTGTAGTTGTTGTGGTGTTCTCTGTGGTTTCGGTTTCGTTTTCGGTTGTTGTTTTTGTACTTGTATTTACAGTGTTGTTGTTGTGTTGTGCGTTGGAGGAGTTGAAAGTGGTGGTGGTGGTGTCTGTGTTGGTGGTGGGGTTTACCTCAATTTGCGACTTGTTCTTGATCTGTTCGGCCTCAGAGGACTCGGCGGCAGTGACGGCAACGGGTGTGGGCGGTGGCGTGGCACTGCCGGAAGAGACACCGTTTGTGCCATTCTGGTGTGGCTCCACATCAACGCTGCTTGGAATGTTCTCGGCTGCTGCTGCCTCAGTTACGGGTGAGTCGGACAGACCATTGCTATCGCCATTGGTCAGCGCCTCGCCGGCAGCTGCAGCTCCTCCATGGCCATTGGTCACAACCTCGGCGGGCTCTGGCTGCCTCTCCTTGACGGCTTCTTCGGTGGTGGTGGCGACTGCGGCGGCGGCAACAACATTCGTCTCGGTGGTGGTGGCAGTGACAGTGGCAGTGATTGGTTCTTCAGCGGTCTTGGGCTTTTCCGCTTCAACGACTGTTGATGCTGGCGATGGCGCCGCCTTCTCCCCCTCTCCGTTGGCCTGTTTCTCCTGCTCGGTCGCCGAACCATTTTCAGCGGGCTTTGCTTCATCCTTGGACGTGGTCTCAGTGGCAGGCGCACCGCTGGCATTCTGATAATCATAATAACAACGCGGATTAGACACATTTCCTCACGAAAGTCCACTCTGTAGTTCACTTACCTCTGCTGCTGCTGCGGGCTGCTCGGCTTCTCCGTTTGTTGTGGCCGCTGGCTCGGCGGCGGCGGCAGGAGCTGCTGCCTCAGCCGTGGTCGGTGATGTTGTGGCCGATGTCGGGGAGACGGGCTCCTCGGACTTGGCTGGCTTTTGTTTGTCCTTCTTGCCAAACGAGATGCTGCGGAAGGACCACTTCTTTTTTACCTTATCCTTCTTGGACTTGGACTTGATGCTCTCGTCTGCCAAGGGGGAGATATCCTCGCCGGCGGCTGCCTCCTTGGGAGACGAGCCCTCTGGGGAGGCATCGCTTTTCGGCGTTTCGGCCGCTGCCACATCTCCAGAGGCGCCCTCACCTGCTGCGGCTGTACTCTTCTCGGTGGTCAGATCTTTATCGTTCTCCGAGTGCTCTTCAGACTCCTTTTTCTAGTGAATGGATAGATGCAAGGGAATTAGCGGACTGGCTCACATTGGTATGCATCCAGCATTCACTTACCTCGCCGGCCGCTCCTTCCTCACCAGCCGACTCCTTGGGCGTGGCCGCATCACCATTCACTGCCGGCGCGGCCGCCTTCTGGTCGGGATCCTCGATCTTTTCTACCTTTCCCGCTACCGCATCCCCCTCGGCGACCTTCTTGGGATCGGTGGTGATGTCGATCGAACGCTTGCTCTGAGCTTTACCCATGTTGCTGCTTTTCCTCTTTTATCTGTTCCTTCCTGTAAACTGTAAACGCCGAAAAGAAAATGGGAAATGGTTTAGTTATAGTACTACGAGTGTACGCATTATTTATTTTTAAATTTGCCTCTATTCTTATTTATACACTTGACATTTACACAGCTATCCAATCGACTCCTCGATCGATTGATCGTTTCATTTCGTTCCGTTCTAAATTCGATGATCTCATTAAGGACCAGTCTGGGTGTAGCTCATGGCTTATCTTTGATCCGGTCAAGCCCATTTAATAATGCAATTACGGAAAAGCAGAGCAACTAACCGTCGCAATCGTAAACGATTCGGCGACGTCTCATGAATCATGCGGCACACACTTGAAGGCTGTTTTTTTTTTTAATCTCGTATACTGGGAAATTTGTATGAAACAACGGTATCTGACAGGGGGAGGGATGGCATGCAATGCGTCACTTTTGAAGAAAATCGAATTACACACAAAAATGAAATTAAAGTTCACTTTTGCGGCAACGAATCTGATATACCCTTACTTTGCCACGAGCAACTAAAGGCTGAATTAGCCAAGTCTCCATTTGCATAATAACATGTAATTACCCTGTGAGAGGGTATCCGTAATTTGCCAAGGGGAATGAAACCGAAACCGTTGCAAAGGGAGCATTTAAAGAGAGTTCAGTGCAGTACAGAAAGAGCGGAGAGAGAGAGAGAGGGGAGGGGCAGGGGAGAGACACAAAAAGTTTGCATTTTTTAGGGGTTGTAAGGCAAAAAAGGTACAACACGATAGTAGGGGGGTGGACGGAGGTAGGACTGGTCGTTCCGTTAGTCAACAAATATGGCGGCAATTTCGCCACACACCTACTACCAACCACACACGCACACATGAAGAGAGAGAGACAGAGAGAGAGGGAGGGAGAGTGAAAATTGAGTTAGTGCAAACACACACACACGGAAAGACAAAAGCAGATGTTTCTGCTGCCCTTTCCCCTTCCCCAGCAACAGCAGCTTCCTCCATACATTCCACATATCCGCAAGAGCACGTGCGGCGCCATATGCAAAGATTCTCTGGGAACTAATAAATGACTCACTCATCATTAAACTACGTTTAGTGGAAATGAGTCAAAGGCATAGACCAAAAACCAATGCAGTACTCTTCGTAGACACACACACATATGCACATTGTGTCAATTTAAATACGTAACAAGACATCAAGTTTCATGGGGGAAGGGGCTGGGGAGGTTCAGTGAACCCAACGACAACGCAACAGCAATTCAGTTACGTATTTCGATGACAGCGATAGCACCAGAGAACCAGAACACTAGACAGTTAAAATTTGATGCTCGCGCCGAAAGAGAGAGGCAGAAAGAGGGAAAATTAATTCCTTGCCTATTCAAACAACAAAAACAACAAAGTTGATGAGTAATTGCCGAAATATGCCTGCAAAAACACACACACACACACGCAAAACGTAATACAACCCCCCGTCTACCATCAGCCAGGTACTGTGTAAGGTAATAACATAAAAGCGTAAGTAAACTTGAGCGCATGACGCATCAAGGCGAAAAAGGACATCGAGTGAGCGACTGGCAGAGGCAGCGGCAGAGGCCGAGGGCAGAAGCAGAACAGCAGCTGCGGCAGAGGGTTGTGGCCATTGTTGGTTTTCCTGCAGCAGCAGCGCAAGCTTTAAGGGAACGTAACGCAACGGGGATCGGGTCTGGTCATCGCACGTTGCCATGCCAACGATGTAGTTGTCTCTCTGCCGCTGCTTCCGTCTTTCTGCCGCTGCGGAAAGCGTCCGACAAATGCGGGGGCGTGTGAAAATAATTGAGTACGGTCCGAAAATATGTTGGGCTGCAATAGAAGCGCTGCTAGAACGAGGGAAAGTTATGCATTAACCCTAGGCTGTTCATCCTTCGTCCAATCTTGACAACTACATTAATCGTAAAGCTACCACGAGAGAGAGAAAGAGATAGAGTATCATAAACTTTGAGCTCGACGGTAGCCTTCGTTTAAGAGGCCACCCTCCCTTGAAGTATTGTCTTGTTTCTTTTTTCATTTTATTAGTTTAATTCAATTTGGACATGACTTTTGACATGCCGCACTCACTCTCACACCAACACACCCAAACATGCTTTCACACGCACTCGGTTTGTAAGCCTCCACCGCCACACCTCTGACAAAGGAAAACGAAGAGAGCAGAGCAGAAGCGAAGCTAACAGCAGCCGCAGTCTATAAATAAAAGCGCATTTATCAACAATGAAGCAGCAGCAGCAGCGGCTACACAAAGCGCCTCTGCTTCCATGAATGTTAGTGTGTATGTGCGTTTGTGTGTGTGAGTGCGAGTCTGGGTTTCAATTCTCTGCGCTGCCCATCAATTTTGACACTTCAAGCTGTTGTGCATCACTCCTACTCTTACTCTTGCACTCACTCCCTCTCTCGCACTCTCCCTCGTTGTACAGTTAGAGAGATGCGCCGTAAATTAAATTGATTGTACTGGAATGTGCCGGCTGAGTGACTGTGTATCTCTGGGTTGGCTGTCTAGCCGGCCGGTCGGCTGTCCTCCCATCCTCTTAACTGGTCAAACATTAATTTCACGTCTCTTTCTCTCTGTCTCTCTTGCCCTTTGTCTGCCATCTGTGGCTGCATGTCAAAGCGCAGGCGCGCGAGCATGGGCATTCCATTTGCAAGATCAGTGGCAGGGCACAGGCTCTGCCACATTGTTGTACAATTAAAATTGAAAAGTGCCCCCCCATTTAAGTGCATGCGCACTTGGGGCCGCACAATTGAACTTTTATAAACTAATCAAAAACGATCGTTAATAGCTCAGCCTCTGCCACCGCCTCTCTTCAATTGAGTGGAAAGTTTTCTTCAATCAGTCCCCGGACAGGCTCAAGTACGAATAAGTAGGAGAAACAGACCTACAACAATACCAACAATAAGAACAGAAAGAAAGCTGCTGATAAGCCACGCCTAAGTCACAATCATGCAAGCAGCAGCTGCTGCTGCTGCTGCAACTGCAGTCGACTGATCTGTGCATACATTCTACATAAGCGCGCGAGTGTGTGTGTGTGTGTGTAGTCGCAATCCACTTTAATTGTCATCAAGAGACGACAGCCACCCACGCAAAAAAGCTCACTCTCACACAAATTGCACACGAGTATAGAGAAGACGACTGCCAAATCCACGCGAAAAATCCAAGAAGAGCAGAGAATGAAGCTCAGTGAAAGAGAGCATTGAGTGAGCCTCAACAATGTCTCAAGTAACCACCGGATATAATTGTTGTTGCTCTTGGATGTGGATGTATTCGTGTGTGCTGTACTGAAGGAATTGAGCGTTGTGGCAAAATGAAAATGATACGTAAAATGAATGCATTCCATAATTAGTAACAAGTACAATACACACCACTCGCATACACGCATATACGCACACACACGCAGTAGTTGTCAAGAGAACCCAAAGAAAAGAGAAATTATATTTTTTTCAATTATCATTTCCGGTCAATTTTGAATGTTCTGACGGTACTAAAACTCCACACTCCTCCCCTCTGCACCCTTCATCACGCCTTTTTTATATGATATGACATGATACATTCCACATGGCCAAAAATAAATAACGGTAAAGTATTCCCAGAAAGAAACTGATTCGCTGCTACTCGGATATCTGCAGTAGAACATAGTGATAATAATAGAGAGGAAGTAGAAAATGTGTGTGTGGGGGGAAAAACGAAGAAACGGTGGGTTGGGTACAGGAACAACACGATTACTAAATTGATAAATCGAATGGGAAGAGGAAGAGGGGAGGGAAGCGGAGTGCATATAAGAAACAAAGAAAACACCCATATCAGCAATACAAGTGATTCAGAATAGGCTCCGGAACAGCAAAAACAAAAAAAAAAAAAGGGAATTTCAACTTAAGAGTGGGTGCTACGTGATTTAGGCTGGGTGCACGGTGCACATGTACCCAATCCATGTTTTTTTAGTACATGCGTATTAAAGATACATAGTACGAGTAGTATATCTTTCGTTCAGACAAACACAGCTACTCCGCAGAGTGATCTGGGCAAACATTACCTTCCCCACATTGTAGACGTGCTCTAGTCAAGTTTTCACTGCCTGACAGCTAGATACCGGCTTATCTAGCCGGTTTTCATCGTTCCCATCTTCAAGATATTCTTGTACTCCACTCTACCGCCACACTCTGCATACACACACGCATGTTTTTGTGTGTTTGTGTGTGTAGAGGGAGAATCCATCCATAGGGAAAAAAAAGAAATAGTAGAAAGGGGCATCGATCGTAAAATTAGACGCACTTGAAAATATCTTCTTCCCCTTCGGCATGCCATTCAAAAACTATCAAAACAGACAATCGCACAGACACGGACACACAGCAACAGATACAAACTATAATGAGACCCAAAACGCATAAAATCATCAGCACCAGAACCATCAAATTTTATGAGCTCGTTGAGAACGTCTCTCATATGCACACGTATTGGTGTAGGGCAACAACTTCTTTTCGCAAATAGCATACGAATTGTTGCTATTTGTAGGCGCATGTATGGGTGCGCGCACTCATCAAATTCTTGAAAATATTTCAACAATGTGTAATGCCCGTCAGACCCCCTTATACGAGAGTACATAACACGAACAACAAAGAAATACCAATATCGCTATATCCCAGTATTTCGACTAAAACATACCATACTCGCGCTATGGCGTTCTTTTCAATATGAAAATTATATGATTTACATTTGAAAAGGCGCATGGAAACACAAAAATGATTTAAATTGTGGATATTTCAAGGTGTGAAACCAATATACCCTCTGAACTAAACGACTGTAGGGTATATACAAAAAAAAGCGCGCACTTCACTCCACACTCAACTACTGTGGGCCGGCCGATGAAAATAATTACAATAAATATTTGAATATTCAAAGCTTTGCTGCTTCCTTTTCAAATAAGAAACCTATGATGATGGGGAGGGGGAGCGAGAAAGACGGAGAATAAGTGCCAATAAATTTGTCGCCTGCCCACGCTCATTCGAACACCACTGTAGACGAAAGGATACACGAACATAAAGTAAATCAGAAATCAGCAACAACAAAAAAACAAGAAGGTGGGCTCTGGCTGCAAGTCCAGCAAACCGGTTCGTTTGGGCTCTCTTCTTGTTCTCTCTCTCTCTCTCTCTCTCGCTCTCACTACTTACAACTCTTTTTTCTTTTGCTAGTTTCTCTCTCTCGTTGCGGTTAATTAAAACTCCGAAGCGTGCGACAATTGTAAGTTGTGTATTAAAAAGTAGTAACAAACAAGAATGGCAGCAACGGGCCAATTAGTCGCCTCGTCGGTCTTAGAATTAGCATTCCCAACAAAATGAGTAGAGTGTGGATGTAGAGGAGCATGGGATTGAGTGAGTTGTCGCAAGTGGCGCGCGCGCCCGCACTTTTCTGATTAGAAATTCACAGGGGGAACTCTTCGAGTCTGTCTTTGTCTGGTTGTAAACGTCTTTTTAATGCATAATTCATAGTGTAGCGGTAACTGCTATGCCTCTGCCTTCTGCTTCTTCTTCTTCTGCTTCCGGTACTTACTCAGCCAGCCACGGGTGGTCTCCTATTGAAAGGCTCGCTCTCCTGTGTCTGCACTTATCTAGTGAGAGTGCTTTCTTAATTAAACCGTTTAGCTGTCGCACTTCAATTTTCTGTTTTTAATTTTTTTTTATCAACTAGAACTTCCCAAGAGCGCACAATTTTAATGGCGGATGAATAGGCGCTGAGAAAGAGGCACAGAGTTTTACCCGGGAGAGCAAGCGCGTTGCAAGTAAATACGAACCGTTAAGTCAAGCGACAAACGACGACTGGCTCGATCAATGGGGAGCAACTTCTGTTGCACTCAACCAAAACTCGACAGCGAAGTCAACAGAAGCAGAAGCAGACAAAGAGCAGCAGCAGCAGCAGCAGTGGCTGGCCGCAGGCAGAGCGACGCTTGCCGGAAGCGCTGGCAGAGGAGTCACCGTCGTCATCGACAGAGCAGCGTCAGAAGTAGCAGTAGCTAAAATGCGGGCGGGCAAAGACATTTACACATGCATTGACCATCATCATCATCAGTAACCGATAAAGGCAAAAGGTCTTTCTCTCCTTCTTTCTGTTCTGCCGTTCCCGCTCCCGTTCCCCTTCCCGTGACCCAGCCTTAGTCAATAACAAACTAATGAGCCTTGGCGGCGTCAATGCGTATGCTTTATTGCTTTATTTTGCTGCTGCTGCTGATGCCGCTGCCATTCATGCCTGCTCTCCATACACAATGACCCCACATGCCAGCGCAGTCCACTCCAGACGCAGGCCGCAGTGGCAGAATAACAGCAGCAGCCACAAAGCGGGCATAAACCATATGCATAAGTGTGCATACATTTTCACACATACAGACACAGATGCATGCTTGGATGCATGCGCTATTGTTGTTGGCCCAATGCGAGAAAGGGAGGCAGGCGTGAAGAATCACCGAAATTCTGTACCATTTCCCCCCTCCTGCTGCTGTTCTGGTTTTATGGTGTAACATTGAACGGATTTCTGGTATTGTTATTTAATTATCGCTTCGGATGGGAAAGTAATTGTGTGTTATACACAAACACACACACAGGCATAAAGATTCCAGCAACAATTGTGGGGGTACACTAATTGAGGATATCACTGGCTATTTCTTGGGCATTGCCCGCAGAGAGTGAGAGAGGGAGAACTCTTCCATGCGAGTGATGGATATCTTCCAGAAAGAATTACAGTTACATGTTCCATATTGGAGATTAATGGAATATCGAAACGAACTATAGAAAAAGTGTGATGAGATTTTTATCGTATCGCCAAGACGATCAATTCAAGTTTTTTCTTCAAAAGGAAGTATTCAAAGACACTCACTCACTCACATACATATGCAAATGTGAGCAAGCACAAAGTCCGAAGCTCAACTGAGGAGTGCGGAGCCTGAGCCAAAGTGTTGAAAAGTCTCTTGTCACCGACATACGACTACAGAGAAGAACCACACACAAGGGTAAATTTCTCTCTCTCTCGTTTAAATATATGCAAACATCTGTGTGAAAGATGTTGTTGCGGAGGCAATCGCCTGTAGGCGGCAGCAGTGGATTTTCATTCTCCATTCCGTTTTTCTTTATTTGAAAATTGGATCCTACTATACCACCACTTGAGGCCAACTACAAGTCGTAATTCCCCAGGAATGTTCCCATACCCCCATACCACCATACGAAAAAAAAAACCATAATTGCCGCTCTGCATATTTTTTTACGAGGCATTTGGCATGGCCGCGAATGAGAAGCCAAGAACTTAAATCTCAATTGTTTTAATGCCAAATCAACAGAAATAGAAAAATATTTGTAATCCAAACGAAAATCAATCGCAAAAACAGCAAAAACCAGCAACAAGAATAAACAAAAGCGATGGAGGAACAGATAAGCGGCCCTGGGATCCGATGCGATCCAATTTGCTGCTGCTGATCTCTTCTCTTCTCTTCCCCCTCCCGCTCCCCCTCTCACACTCCAATCCACTCGGTTCCCCATTTAAATTTAAGCTTTTGGCGTAGTATTTCATTTTTGTGGTTTTCTGTTTTGTTTCGCTTCAATTTCAATTTCTGTTTACGCTCTGCTGTTCTGCTGCTGCCTGCTGTCACTGCTCTCGCCGCTGGTGCTTATCAATGCCGCCCGCAATATTCACACCCCGTACTCGTACTGATCAAAGGGTATATTCTTTAGAGAAAGGATTTTTGAACTCTTTAAAATTTTGGCATTGTTTCCCAGGGTTAGAGCCTTCTGAGAGCTGGCGAAAACAAACATTGGGGTCAACGAAAATCAACGAATTTAATATTTCTGGTAATATCTATCACACTGTCTGATAAAAGTTAATGTCTTAGGTATCTTTAAGTCGTTAACCCCATTCTTAATAAAGGAACCTGCACTGAGAGATTAGAAGCCAGGCCAATTGTGCGATCGGTCTACGTTAACCGCAATTCGCACTTGATGACGACCCACAATTCACGGGACGGTTTATTTGCTGCCGCTCCCCACCCTATCTCCCCATACCGTACCGCTCTGAATGTTTACTCGAGTTTGAGCAAACGTTAACAAATTTACCAACAATTCAATCATTCTCCCGGCTTGAGGGGCCAGCAAATATGTAATTTGAAACGACTTCAACAAAACCGCACGACGCGTCTCATTTGGATCCTCCTCAGACAAAACCTAGAGCGATTCGGAGGAAAAATGTTACCTGAAACTCTGAAACTTTACCCAAAATAAATACATTTCATATAACGAGTAGGATAATCTACACTTGAAATCGATAAGGAGAAATCTTGAATAACGTTCCTATAAAAGTTGTACAACTCTATTATAAAGGTATGAAAGGTTGGATTCAGGGGCACTTTGCAGATCACCGTGATCAGATCCGGGTAGTTAAAAAGGTCTCCTTCAAAGCAGAACCTTATTTTTCATAGACATTAGTCATTCTATCGAATAATTGTACTCTCCATATAAAGGGTCTTCTCTGGCATGCCAAACTCCTGAGCCTAATTATAATGGGCCTCTCCTCTGCCAGGGTATAAAAATACATCCCAGCGATTGCAATGACAATCAAAGGTCTTCTTCTTCGATACACCCACTCCCTGTGTGGACGACGACGACTACGACAGTGAAGGACCGACACGCACACACAATTGCACTCTTACCAACACAAGTGCATCGAGTGAGCGGTGGGGCGGGGTTAGCATACCCATACGCGGGCTGGGCATGTAGGCGACGACGCCAGTAGGGCGGTGGCTGGCAGCCGTCTGATGAGTGACGACTGCTGGCGCTGCAAAAATGCGACGCAATTTTTCGTAACAAAACTGTAGAATAAATAAAAAGACGATCCTCAGTCAGCGACGCCAGCGGCGACGACGACTGCGACAGCGGTGTATCGATAATCTCGGAGCGTGTAAACCTAAACCGAGACGCAATACGGAGGAGCGGAGCTGCTGTGAAGGGGAGATCGACTTCCGTCAAATAACAGTCAACACTGGACAACAAATTTCAGTCGACTGCACCTTGCACAAGGATGTGGCGGCAGCCGTGTCCGAAAAACATGTTAGCAAGTGTAATCAGGCGTGCAGTGCAAACAAAGAACACGATTCCCCCATCCCCCACACACCAACTCCACGGCAAGGCAAGGCAAGACAACGACAATGAAAAAGAAGTCAAGTCAAGGCAACAAGGCGAAGCGAATACACAGGCAGATACATACACATACACATGCATACGCACAAAGGAAAAGGCAGGCGTGCGTGACTGTATGAGTGTGTGTGTGGGTACAGCACAAAGCGTAAAGGATAAGTGAAGCACGCAAAGGAAGAAAGTTGATAAGCGGCATAGAGCGCAAAAACAGGCAACAGAGAGCGAGTGGAGTCGGAAAGAGAGAGTATAGAGAGCCAGCGAGAGAGCAAAACGGATACAAGCCCCACCGGCATGGGCCTGCCTGTTGTCTGCTAGAGACGCCAACGTGGTGGCAACGCCGACGCTTCGAAGGCGGCACACCCAAAAAACTGTGAAAAACGCTCAAAAGTAGCAAAATTTAAAGGGCATCCACGGTGGGGTGGGTGCCATAGTAACAAAGGAAGACCGGCTTTCGTCTATTTTTGGAGCAGAATTTAAACAAATTTAATGATAGACATGTTTAATTTCATGCTTTTCTTGAGCCACTCGCACACGCACACTAAGCCAACGTGCATGGCGTCCTTTTTTCCTGACTTTGTATGCCTGCATGTGTATAAGTGTGCGTCGGCGTCTGCCGCGTCGCCACTGTCTGTGTGCGTCTCGAGACGGACGACACTTGTGCCAATATTGAGAGAAACATGTATTATTTCAGACTCGGCACTTAACATTTAATATAATTTAAATATTTCTTTATTCGGACACACACAACTTAATCCTGTACACAGACGCGGAGCACAAAAGCGGGTATAGAGAATTTCAAAAGTACCACTTACACACGCACACATACACATATAGGCAGACTGCATGGCTTGGTTTTTCAAAAAATGTTTGCTTGTCGTCGGGTTGGGAAGCATTGTTTGATGAAATGATTACTGAAATTGTAATTTACCTGGCTCAATAGTCTAGCTAAACACACGCACTTTGTTCTTTCGTTTCTCTGCGAATAATGTTAAACTGTTCGCAGCTCGCTCTCTTTGCTTTCTTTCCGTTTCGGTTCGGTTTCTCGTTTCTCTGTTGCGCGCTCCACAAATAAAAAATGTCTGCATTAGTGTGACCGCGGGATTCTCCATAGGATATACGGTCAGACCCTCAGATATATACCGAAAATACGTCACAGTTTCAAAATATACCGTAAATATACTGACGCTTTATCAAAGTCCCATCATGCATATTCCTCGTTTTTGATATTCCGTCGAAGATTACTAGCTAAATAGAACTCTCAACCTTACCCGCACAATTTTAACCGATTAATGAATCAATTTTCTACTTGACTGGCTTGTTTTCCTGCTATTTGACTTAATTTTAGTGCCGCAACAACAATAGCCGCTTGGTTTCAATGGGTAAATTGTCCTCCGTCAAGGATTGGATTGGAAACTGTATTCCTCGATTTTGATATTCGATTTGATATTAGTGGCTAGCTAGAACTTCCATACCTGAACACACAATTTTATACAATGGATAAATACATTTTCTACAAGATTAAATACTTTAAAGACAAGGTTTAAACAAAAAACAGTCGCAATTTTGTCACTCCAATGTCGCTGGTGACTTATTGCTTATCAAACGGAGTATAGACATTTTTATACCCTATTTCGTTGAATTCTGTTTTCAGAACTGTTTTAAACTGTCTTAGACATATTCATGCAATACATCCTGATCCCGATACTCTTTCTTGGGCTCTGTAAGCTCCGTTGCCTTCATTGGAGCCTGGGATGATGACAAACATTTTCTCAATTCTGTAATATCCATTTCCCTAGGTATGCCAATGTTGCCCATGTCGCGGCTCTAACCGATTCACTTAAAAATATACCTACATGGTTACTACACATTTCCTACATATCATGAACATTTTTATAGAGTGAATGGACGTCTGTATACCCTGTTTCCATTAATAAATGTTAAAATTCTGTTTTCTAAGCCTCTTTGAAACATAAGTAATATGATGCTTTGATGACATGAAAAGACATCAGGTGGAGTGCAGGTGTCATATAGTTCGACTGCGCTAAAGTTCTTCAAGTTATATCATCTTCGTTAAATCGTTCCCTGTCTATGATCGGATATAATAGCATCGAACAAGTATTTACTGAATCTTTTTCTTACGCCGATTAGAGAGTACCCCTTCTGTTAGAGTATGTTTTTCAACGCGTTAGTGTTGCCGCTTCGCGATTTAACAGAGCTCTGTTAACGAATGGAAAAAGTCGCAAAAGCAAAGTTGTATTATACTTCTTTCCCAAAACACTATTCAGTCCGCCCACAAATAGCAACAATAAACATATGGCATAACAGGTAATAAGCAGAGGATTCAGCTGATGTTCTGCGGAAAAGCCAAAAGCAGCGATAACAAGCCCCAAAAGCTGGCCAGCAGCAAGAGGGCCGTGAGGTGGTGTGCTGGGCGGGTGGTGCCAAAGAAGTGTTATCTACTTGCGTAGGCTCTGATGCCTGCTGAGATAAGACCCGGACCTGGAGCCGGAGGCGTAACGAGGCGAATCAACCCATCCCGGTATTTATCACTATATCCACACTAAAAAGAGTCGACACTCATCTTTCATCTTTAATTTAGGAGCCGCCGAAATGGGCTGCATCACCAGCACCAACAAACTGAATGAGCTGCGCCACGACAACGTCTTCCGGGTGCGGGTGGCTCACCTGCAGCCCAGTCCCGGTACGCCCATCATCCGCAGCGGTTACCTGGAACTAACCCCGCGTGAATTGATTTTTCTTACGCCTGGCTGCGAGCCGATTGTGTGGGCCCTGCAACACCTTCGTCGATACGGACTCAATGCGGATCTCTTTTCATTTGAGGCTGGGCGACGCTGCATGTCCGGTCCCGGCATTTACACGTTTCGTGTGAACAATGCCGAACAACTGTATCCGATGTTCCAGCGCTACATCAATGCGGTCAACACGGACGCCTTTGCCCAGGGGGAGCGCGAGAGAATCAACTCGGCGCACTCGGTGTCCGTGCTGATGGGCCGGACGGATGCGAGTCCACACAGCAACAACTATTTGGAGCCAGCCCCAATCGCCCGAAATCTTGGAAGCTCTCTGCCAGAATCTGCCAATGCCAATGCCTCCTTCCAGATGCCAACTGAGTCCACAGTACAGCTCGAGGAGTCTCAAAGTCTCCACTCGCCCGTTCTGCCCTTCACGACGTACGCCAATGCCCAGACCAATGTTTATCTCGACCAGCCACTGAGGGCCATCCCAGATTGCTGCAAAGATGGAGGACCCTCCACTGGGGGCTTGCCCGCCAGCAAGGACACGCCGCCCAGCAGGCTGAGCATGCGTCGCCGAACACTGGATATGCCGCCGCTGGAGACGGCACCACCACCAGCACCCGTGACTCCCGTCGAGGGTGTGCACATGTATGCCAATGTAGAGACGCCCCTCTTCGATCCAAGCACTGAGCGCTGCTACGAGAACGTAAACCGCTTGGAACTTCCGCTGTTGCCGCCGCTGCCGCCAAGAGAGGTTAGCCGAGAGTCCTCCGAGCCTGCCACGCCCACCAGTCTGGCGGGCAACTTCAGTGGTGTGAACTATATAGTCCTTGATCTGGATCAGCCGCGCAGCCCCGTTAGCCAGTGCTCACCCAGGATGTATAATGGCTTTGGCAGCGGTCTCTCCTTGGTCACTGTGACCACAGCCGAATCTTTGGCACAGGCAAAAACAGCGCCAGTGACGCCCGAGGCCAGCTCTATGCTGGATGTGGCCATGCCGCCGCCACAGTCCCATAGCCTGAACAGTGTGTCCAGTGCAGCGGTAACCATGGATATGGTAGACACTGCGACGAGTAAGCAAGCAACCAAAGCAGCAGTAGAGTCATCCACGACACAGGGTTACTCCACCATTGACTTTATACGAACGTATGCGCTGAACAAGTCATCGACGGAGCTACCGGAGCTTCGCCATCATCCGCCGCACGAGGCCGAGGAGTTGAGGATCACGCGGCACAGCAAATGCATCCGAAAAGCCTACTCGATCAGCGAATGAGCAGCGGCAGGCACGGGCACAACGAATTTTATCAACGCCAAGCCAAAGGGAAAAAGGAAAGATTTGTTTTCCCTGAGCAAAGCACTACCCCAAGGTATATTAAATAGTGGTCAAGGGGGTGTGTTGTCCCACTCTCATTATATATAATGGTACCTAGACACAAATGGTAACCAGCAGGTTGTTTCAGTCACACACATGACTTGCATACGTACTTAATATGTATTTATATAGTGGTATTTAGACATAACGGGCTGTTTAGAGCTAGTCATTTGGATATTTTATGCAAATTAATCGTAGACAAAACAGGACAGAAAGGCTTTTAACATTTAATTTGTATGTATATTGTATATTGTACATGTGTAAGTTGTAGTTTTTAAGCACGTGCAAGAATTGTTGTGGGTATGGGGGAAACGCTTTTGTAGTTTTCTTTTTTGTTGCCAAAAAAAAAAAAAAAAGAGTCAGAAAGCATCGCCACATTGCATTGTCAGCTGTGAGTTTATAATTTTTATATATATCGCCAAATTGTTATTCGAGTTGTTAGGTATTATACACACATAAACAGTTTTTTGCAGTTGCATACAACATCCATACATCAAATATTATTATTGTTAGTGTCTAAGACGAATTTGTGCAATAAAACGAAAGGACCTTGTAACTGGTTTCATTTTGTGTATTTTTATTACGGAAGACTGCCATTCCATTTCAAAATAACCAAAAAGTTACTTTATATTTATCATTCATATCATTAAAAAATTAAATTTCCAAAAAAAGGAAAAACAAATTCAAAATTAATAGGGGCTGTAAGATATTAATATCAAATTTTAAATTCATTTGTCTGCTTCAAGCAACTCTTGCACATCATCAATGGTCATGTCTTCGAAACCTTCAAGATCCAATATTCCACGGACGTCACCTTGTAGCTCTGTGTAAAAGCTGCAATTTGTATATTTTATTTATAAACTTTTTATTTTAATCAAGCTATATCTCCTATTTATCACCCTTTTATTTACGCGTTTTCTGATTTTTTGATCTGACATAGAAACCCCATACGTATTGATGCATGCATAAAAGCACTCTGGCATCAATAGACAAAAATAGTATATTGATATTTTTTGGAATCGTGTAAGAACCAGGATTTTAGCGGTTTAAAATGGGGAAAATATCAAATTTATAATCGCGAGTAAGACCGAGTTCGTGCTAAAAGAGTTCGAGTGGAAAAAACACACCTTTTATTTATGTACACTGCACTGATGCAGTCAGAAGCACCGTTACTAGAATCAAGTTGAGCAAGAGAGACCATATCACTCAATGGCAATCAGCATCTGAGTACTTTAACTTGCGATAAGAAGAGCTCTCAACCGCAATTACACTTACTCTCAATTTCACTCCTCCCTCTCCACGCAGTTTCAGAGAGTATTTCTTCCCGACCGAAAGTCATTCAATTGTTTTTGTACCGAGCGCTGGCATTAAAAAATCTGGAGTTGCTCCGATCGTGATCAAGAACAAATGCAGAAATTATGGATTCTGGCCTTGGCCATTCTAGCCAAGGTTTTCCTAAGCCTTGGCCTTGGCCTTGGCATGGGACCTGAGCTGGCCTTGCACTTGGCCCCCGACACTCTACCGGATGTGCAAGAGGAGGCGGCTCGAGCGGTGATCCAGAGAGTGATCGGTCCGCGGTCCTCTCAGCTTTTTTTGGTGGAAGTCAGCCGAATCTTGGATTTTCGCAGCTTTCAGGTGAGCGTTACCATCATTGAAGACTGCAGATGATCCAGAGATGGAATCTCCTTTTGCGAGCAGATTAGCATGCTGGACAGCGGGCAGATTCTTATAGCTGGCTGGGATGGCGTGTCCGTGTGCAAGGGCTTCCATCATTATCTGAAGTACGTGCTGGAGCGTGATGTGGACTGGTTCAAGATGCGCATCGAATTACCGACGAACCTGCAACTGCCCAATGTCACCATCCGTTCAACATCAACAACCATATTGTACCACCAGAATGTGTGCACCTGGAGCTACAGTTTCGCCTGGTGGGGATTCGAGCAGTGGAGACGGCACATCGACTGGATGGCCATGATGGGCATCAGTTTGACCATAGCCCCCGTCCAGGAGGCCGTGTGGCAGGATGTGTACACTCAGCTGGGACTCAGCGGCGCAGAGATCGAGGCCCATCTAGCTGGACCAGCTTTTCAGGCGTGGCAGCGTATGGGCAACATTCGCGGCTGGGGCGGACCCCTTAAACCTGAGTATCAGCGCCTTCAGGAACTACTGCAGCAGCATATCCTGCGTGCCCAGCGAGACTTGGGAATAAGCGTAGCTTTGCCTGCTTTTGCTGGTCATCTGCCCACGGCAATGCGTCGAATCTATCCGAATGGAAACTACACAGAGGTAGAGCGATGGAATAGTTTTCCAGATCCCTACTGCTGTGGGCTGTTTGTCGACCCACTCGATCCTATCTTTGACCTGGTGGCCGCACTCTTCCTGCGGCGCGTGGTTCAGCGCTACGGCTCCAATCACATCTTCTTCTGCGATCCCTTTAACGAACTTCAGCCACCGGTGGCAGAGCCCGATTACATGCGATCTACGGCCGCGGCGATACACAACTCCATGAGGAGTGTTGATCCGGAGGCTGTGTGGCTGCTGCAGGGCTGGATGTTTGTGAAGAACATCTACTGGACGGACGCCATGATGGAGGCCTTTCTGACCGCGGTGCCCATTGGTCGCCTGATCGTCCTGGATCTGCAGAGCGAGCAATTCCCCCAGTACCAGCGCACCGACTCCTACTACGGCCAGCCGTTCGTGTGGTGCATGCTACACAACTTTGGCGGCACCCTGGGCATGTTCGGGTCTGCCGATTTGGTCAACAACGGCATTGAGGCGGCACGGCGCATGCCCAACAGCAGCATCGTTGGCGTTGGCATCACACCGGAGGGCATTGGCCAGAACTATGTGATGTATTCGCTTGTCCTGGAGCGGGGTTGGAGTGAGCTTCCCTTGGATTTGGACAGCTGGTTCAAGCACTTTGCACGGACACGCTATGGCGTGGATGATGAGGGTCTGCAGCAGGCCTGGCAGCTGCTGAGGCGCAGCGTTTACTCCTTCCGCGGGCTGCAGAAAATGCGAGGAGGATACACGGTGACACGGCGGCCGGCACTCAATCTGGATCCCTTCACCTGGTACAACGCCTCCGATGTGCTGGAGGCTTGGAAGTTGCTGCTGTCATCGCGGGCCATCATACCCCTAGAAGATGACAAGTATGCGATCTATGAACACGATCTAGTGGACATTACGAGGCAGTATTTGCAGATCAGCGCCGATCAGTTGTACGTTAATCTGAAGTCGGCCTATCGAAAGCGGCAGGTGGCACGCTTCGAGTACCTGGGCTCCAAGCTGCTGCAGCTTTTCGGCGACTTGGAGCACATCCTGGCCAGCGGCTCGAATTTCCTATTGGGCACCTGGCTGGCGGATGCCCAGCGAGCAGCTCCCAACGCTGCGGACAAGCCAAATTTTGAGTTCAATGCCCGCAACCAGATTACGGCGTGGGGACCAGATGGCCAGATCCTGGACTACGCATGCAAGCAGTGGAGTGGTCTCGTTTTGGATTACTACAGGCCGCGTTGGGCACTCTTTCTGGACGATGTGACTCTGGCTCTGCACTCGAATCGGACATTCAATAGCACCGCCTTCAAGCTCCGTGTGTCGCAGGAGGTGGAGTTGCCGTTCAGCAACAAGTCTGATGTTTACCCAGTGGAGCCCATGGGCAATACTTGGTTTATCTCCCAGAATATCTACGAGAGGTGGAAGGAATACCTGAGGGACACGCAATTTCTGCACAACAATCGCATATCTGTAAACCTCAAGTTGGGTGTCCAATGAACACTTGAAATATTTCAACCATTTATTTAATACAAAAAAATATATTCAATAATTATTTGTTCACGATTTAATGAGATTTTGAAGTAGAAGCTTAACTAACTGAAATTATTTGGAAATATGAGAGGAGAGTCTTATTTAGTCTAAATGAGCTTTCTCTCTCAAGTCCAGGTCCAGATGAATACAAATTCCTAGATGCGTTCCAAGGAGTATTAGAGAGAGGCTTTGACTCGACTTGAATAGCTTGAGGCATGATGACATTATTCAAGGTGGTCCGCAACCGCAAGGCGCTCTAATTTCGGGTCTTGTTTTGCTCAGACTCGGTTTTCCCTCTCTCTGAGCGTAAAATAAGACCCGAAAAGAGAGTCTGCGAACCTACTTGTATAACTTCATCATGGCTTGAAGCTTGAAAATGACATTCTTAATGATCTTTCTCTATCTCGTCCAGGTCTCTTTTAGAGATTGCGCTCCGAAGAGATTGAATTGTAGTCTTGTGCTCTCTGAAGATATTGAAAAACGTGCACATCCTGGATTTGCATCATACATAAATGTAGTTTTAATTGATTTTTATTTAAATTAATGTACAAACTAATTATGTAAAAATTTAAACATGATCATTAATACGCATTTCTATGGTTACTCTTTTGTTTTTTTCTGGTTTTTTTTTTTTTGTTTTTTCTTCTTGTGTATCTGTATTTTATATCTCTGTGTGTGTGTGTTTTGGGGTAATTGCGTTTTAGTTCTATTTCTCACACACATGACATGACATGACATGAACTGAACTCCAAATGATGATCATGATTTGCTGATCTGCACACTCGTGCTTCTGTTGGATCTGCTTCCGCTCCGCTTATTCGTGTATACTGCTTAATAATGCTAATTTTATGCAAACTAGTTTTTGCATAGAATTTTTGTTACATCTGCTGCTGCTGCTTATTATGATCTCTGCCATTCACTTTAACTTATTGTTTGTTAGGCCGTGTTGTGTGTGCATGTTCTGTGTATCTGTGTGTATGTTGTGTTCGCTCTCAAGTATTCTATCATTCATACACGATGTTCTACAATTTAAAAAATTCCCAAACAAAACTTTTTATGGTATTCTTTCGTTCGCTCGCCTTTTAGGTGTTTTAGACTAAATAATGGGGAGGAGGCGTGGGCGGGAAGTGGGTTCCTGGATTGGTTTGTGGTTTCACGTGTGTCGAGGACATTGCGCAAAAATATGTTTTAATCATATTAATCGTATGTAATTGCGCGCGGATAACCACTTTTACTTTCATTACTCTCTATCTCTCATTCACCACAACAAAACGCAACTTTAAATTTATATTGGTAGGTTTATCTGTATGTGTGTGCTCTGTGTGTGTGTGTGTGTGTATATATATATATAACGTACTTATATGCATTCAATCAAACAAACATTTATACTCTTTCTCGACGGAGAAACACTCATACATCTTCATTGTCATCAACTAAAGAATATTCATCTGTATCTGAATCTGAATCATTCTGAATCCAAGCATCAACTAAAAACATGCTGAATGGGGGATGTCTGGATGTGTACACATCTATTCATCCTGCATGTCCTCAGGCAATTCGTGTGGATTCAACATGCCTGGAATATTCCTCTGCATCTGATGCTTATTGGACTGCTCCTCGGCCAGGGCTGCCTCGCGCTCCTCTAGATACAAATCGGAATCATCCTCGCCAGTGGCCTCCTGTAACAACAACAACAAAAACCAAAACAAATGATCAATCAACAATCTACAATTAAATGGAGCCGATCCCTAAGA